AAAAAAAAAAAAAAAAAAAGTTATATAAATAGATGAAAACACCCAGAAGAGACTGTGGAGGGAGAAAATTATGTAAGACCAACCACTTCGGAGGCCAGGTGAAAGAAGAGGGACCTGCCAAGTAAACTGAGAAAGAACTGTCAGGAAGGGAGGGTAAAAGGCAGGCAAATGGGCCGTCATGAAAAGCAAGAGTCAGGTTCGTTTGGGGAAGGAGTCACCTGTGTGAAAATGTAGCGAGATGAAGTCCGGTCACCCCTCAGTCAACCCAGGGGATCGGTTCCCTGAGCCTCCCTCGTGGGCACCAAAATCCTCCAGTGCTTGAGTCCCTTGCATAAAATGACATAGCATTTGCACATGACCTATGCACATCCCCTAGAATATATAATTCCTAACACAAGTAAACGCTATGTTAATAGCTGCTATACTGTATTTTTATTTGTATTATATTTTATTGTTTTTTTATCAGGTTTTCCCTCCAAATATTTTCAATCCTCAGTTGAATCCACAGATGTAGAACCCCTGGATACAGAGGACCGGCTGTATCATGAGGAATACAGAGAGGTGTCCTCTGGGTTTCACAAACAGAAAGGTCATTGATGACCTTGATAAAAGTTTCACTGGAGTAAGGGGAGCGGGCAGGCTGAAGAAGCAAATTTGGAATGAAAGGCTTTTTCCTTTCTGGTTTCAGCCACTGGGCCTGGGGACATTGTTTGGACAAAGGGACTACATAGATCCCAGCAGGCCAGAAGTGGCTGATTTCATCTTTCCAGGATGTGTCTCTGTTATTTCTAATTTTAGTAAGAGTATCTCAGAGTGGAAGGATGCTGTGGAGCACATCTTTCTCAGCAACTACCTCACAAATGAATATGATCACACACTTAAACTAGTTCCCAGGTTCAAGAAAGGAGGGAGGAAGAAGGGAGGAAGGGAGGGAGGGAGGGAGGGAGGAAAGGAGGGAGGGAGGGAGAGAAGAAGGGAGGAAAGGCAGAAGGAAGGGGTCTGAAGGAACCAGAAATAAATTTGATTAATCCCTCTGACTACTATGTGTGAACATTTCATGAAAACTGGAGTTTGCAATGTTAGAGACAAAGGCTCTTCCTGTCCACCACAATTTCTGTCACCTTGATGGGCAGGTGACGGGCAAGGTGGGTAAAGTAGCCCCTGCTAAGGAGGTCCCTGGTACTTTACTGAGCTTTGCAGACTCCTGCCTGAGCAGACACCACATGTCTGACATTGAACCAACAAGTCCCTGGGCAGAAAATTGAAAAATATTAAACCACACAGATAAATGTCCATCTTTTAAATCACTTTATGATATAGCTCATTTTAATTTCTGATTAATATTTGTAATCAGCAGTGACTTGAAACATTTTAGCTTTTAGTTTTTCCCACTGTTAAGTAATTAATGATCTATGAGCAAACTCTTGAGAAGTCTTTTTATAATAAAAGGAATCCCTTTGTATCTGTGAATAATTTCACCTTTTCATTCATTGTATGGAGAATCACAGGAGGTGAGTAAGGGTAGAAGGAAAGAGAAGAGTATGTCCCTGAATCTCAGAAAAAATTTAAGGCCAGCTAATGATGGACATTTATTTTTGTGATTTAACAGTTTTTCATTTTTCTGGACAGGAACCCTCCAGTCCAATACCAGACATGTGGTAAGAGGTTCGTAAATGAGTGGGATCTAGTTCCCATTGGTCAGCAGTGGCCCCTAAGCATATCCAGTCACATGCTTTGATCTAATTTGCAAGGCAACATCTTGAAACGATTTTCTCAGTAAGTAGAAAGAACAAAGAAACCCCAAATTTTACTCCTGGCTGGTCCATTCTGTAATCTTTGTCAAGTTACTTAACCTTTCTCTGCTTCAATTCCTCCTTCAGGAAATGTTGTGAAAATATCAACCTTCTCATTGTCTCAGAAGTAATTTGAGGCCAGCTAATTGACTCCACCGTATGTGATGTAATGGTGGGGAAAAGAACTATTAAAATGTGAACTATCATTACCATAGTCCAAGGAAGAGATCACCATTGCATACGTGACCCCACAGTGAGGCCTTCTGAAGGCTGCTCTTAACCTTCTAGGCAGTGTCTTCCTGTACCGGTGGAGTTGCCACCACCTATAATTTGTTAGTTTGATTTTAAACTCTAACCCAGCTAAAAGTAGAACAAGTTCTAATTTTCATTGAATATATTTGCATTGGAGGATTTCAGACTATTCTTTGCAGCAACAAGGATACCTGAGGTATAACAAAACCACACCTGGGAATCACAGCACATGGGAATAACTGACTTCTTGCACCTATTCAAGTCCACCAGAACCAAGTCCATGAGTAGACACCCACTGGGATGCAGAGAACTAGGACTCAATGATGGGCAAATAATTACCCTGACTCTCCCACTGCAGGAAGCCTTCCCTTAGACGTGCAGGTCTCACGTCTGTAAAGTAGGACATGTATCCCCATCTTCTAAAAGAAGAAATTGAGGCTCAGAGAGACTTAGTGTTTGGTCCAAAATCACCTCACTAGTCAATACACAGAGGCAGGATTAGATTCCAGGTCCTTTTGATGCTTCGGTAGGACTTTTTCCTCATTTTGTGAAAATGATAATGGACATCTGTCTATGGAAGAAGGAAGGTAACATCACGCCCGAAACATTCAATTCAAATTTCAAATCAAAGAAGAAACTTTTTTATAACTGATTTGATATTCTAAAGGTGGCCAAAATTATTGGAAAAATCAATCTTAATGCTGCCTTCTCCTATTGCTGTATAAATTGATATCAAAGGTATAATTTAAGAATGCTCAACTTTAAAACAAGGTAGACCCTGGACGTTCATGGACTGGTCTCTGACGCGTGTATGGAAGCAGGAACTTGAATCTTACGTACTGAGGTTTCTGTGTGGGATCCAACCTCTTAGCTAGGGCCACCCAGAACGCAAACAGCTATGTGGCATCTTTGCTCCCCACTCCTACCGTATACCCATTCTATGGAGAAAAATGACACCCTAGAATGGCACCCTTGGCATCCATCACAAAATTTGAGCATTTCCAAACGTCATGAGACATATTTCTGACGAACCTCCAGGTTCATTTTCCTGCTTTTATTTCCCATTAGAGACCAGAAACTCCGGGTAATGTTTATTGCTCACAGTAGTAACCAACTCATCTCAGATTCCTAACACATCTGTCCTCCTTCCACTGGGCTACTGACCAGTAAAATACGTCATTTCTCATTTTTATCATTGTTTTATGTGTTTTGATGTTACATATTGTCTTAAATCCTTTTTTGGAAGTAGCATTTAAATCTTCGATTAATGTAGAAAGATTTATTTACCTTAGTAAGATGCCTAGAAAGATTTATTTACCTTAGTCCCCAGGCCTAATGTTAGAACTACTAAAAGGAATTATGGACGATTTTTTAAAGACAATGATGATTGGTTTCAGATGAATTTATCCAAATTCTGAAACTGACAGAAGCTAAGAATTATGCTTTGAGTGACACCTAATGGTTGAGAACGTCACTCTCCCAACTTCTTCCACAGGCCCCAGACCAGTGTTTCTCAAAGCTCTAGAGTAGACCATCTTCTTCCGAATCACCCGGGTGCTTGTTAGAAATACAGAGGCGCGGCCGGCACCTCGGGGCCGGGCTCCCCGCAAGCTGTGCTCTTCACAAGCACCACGGGGGATTCCAGGTGTGCCGGAGTCTGAGAAGCGCCGGCTCCAGCGCTGCCAAGTCAGACGGGTCAGGACTGTCCCACCGGGCTTGCAGCGGCCTCCCCGGCTGCCCGCGGGGCCTGGGGCCTGGGGCGGGGCGGGGGGCGGGCAGGGCAGGGCAGGGAGCACGCAGGACCCGAGGGCGCGGGTGGGGGTGCAGGAGGGCCGCGGGCCGCTAACGCCTGTGCTTCCCGCCCGCAGACGAACCCCCCGCCTGGAGTGCTCCCGCTGCCGCCGCCCCAGGCCTGCCGGAAGTAGGCGCCCCGGCGGAGGACGGCCTCTCTCCATTCTCTCCATCGCATCCAGCCCCACCCTCCGACCCTTCCCACCAGATAAGCCCAGACCCAACTTGGGATATCAAAAGGGAACACGACGTTAGGAAACCAAAGGAGCTTTCAGCCTGCGGCCAGAAGAAGCAGCGCCTCGGGGAGCAGAGGGAGCGCTCGGCCAGTCCGCAGAGGGCCGCGCGGCCGAGGCTCGAGGAGGCGCCCGGCGGCCAGGGGCGGGCGGCGGGGGCTGCCCTTGGACCCGGCCCGGG